AACTCCATTGTGTTGGTATGAGTCATATGAGAGTGATGTGCTCAGACCTGAGATTGTACATAACACGATTGAGAAGATCAAGATGATCCAAGAGAGGATGAAAGCTTCTCGGATTCATCAGAAGAGTTATCACGATAAGAGGAGGAAGGCACTTGAGTTCCAAAAGGATGATCATGTGTACTTGAGAATTACTCTGGCAACTGGTGTTGGTAGGGCTCTAAAGTCACAAAAGCTTACACCTAGTTTTATTGGTCTATATCAGATTTCTGGGAGAATAGGTGAGGTGGACAATCAGATTACTTTACCGTTGTCGCTTGCGAATCTTCATGATGTGTTTCATGTGTCTCAGTTGAGGAGATATATTTCAGATCCTTCTCATGTCATCCAAATGGATGATGTATATGTGATAGATAACCTGATTGTTGAAGCATCACCCATGAGGATAGAAGGTCAGGAAGTGAAGCAATTGTGGGGTAAAGACATTTCCTTAGTGAAGGTATTATAGGGTGGACCAGCTAGAGAAAGTTGGACTTGAGAACATGAGGATCAGATGAGAGAGTCTTATCCGATTTTGTTTCCACCAGGTAATTTTTTAGGGTGAAAATTCTTTTAAGTGGGGGAGAGTTGTAACACCCCAAAATAATTAAATTATTATTTAATTGATTTATGATGAGTATTTGTGAAGTAATTATGATTTACTAATTAAATATATGATGTATGGCTGATTGTGGTGTATGGTATATACTATGTTGTGGGATAGTGACAGGTTAAGGGAATAATAAGAATTATTTTGATTTTAAATAATTAGTTGAGAATTATTTAGATTTAATAATTATTATTTAGAATTATTGTATTAATTAAATAAGATAGGATATGGTGTAGAAATAGTAAGGGCAAGGTGGTAATTGGTGAAAGGATAAGTAAGGGTAAGATAGGAAGACTATAGAAAGGGCCCAAGGGTTAAACAAGGAAAAAGAGGGTTGTTGTTTCATTCTGCATGATCGTGAAAATTGAGAAGATAACAGTTAAGAGCTAGGGTACAAGGAGAAGAGAAGAAAGTCAATCGTAGAGCTTGGAACGGGAATCAAAGCTAAAATCTAAGGTAAGAGAGTAATCCTTGTTATTAAGATTGATATGAGATTTAGATTTATATAGGTTGTTTGGGGTTTTTATGATGAATTGGTAATATGAGGAATCTATGATGAAATTGATGATTTGTGATGTGTGAAATACCATGAATTGATGTCGGTAATGATGTGATAATGTATTGTAATTGATTATATGATGACATGTTAATTTATGGTGAATTTGGGTCTGTTATAGTATGAAATCGCATGAGAAATTGGGATTGTACTGTGTAGAAAATGCAACAGTAGAGTCTTATCCGATTTTGTTTCCGCCAGGTAATTTTTTAGGGTGAAAATTCTTTTAAGTGGGGGAGCGTTGTAACACCCCAAAATAATTAGATTATTATTTAATTGACTTATGATGAGTATTTGTGAAGCAATTGTGATTTATTTATGAAATATATGATGTATGGCTGATTGTGGTGTGTGGTATATATTATGTTGTGGGATAGTGACGGGTTAAGGGAATAATAAGAATTATTTAGAATTTAAATAATTAGTAGAGAATTATTTAGATTTAATAATAATTATTTAGAATTATTTTATTAATTAAGTAATATAGGATATGGTGTAGAAATAATAAGGGCAATATGGTAATTGGTGAAAGGATAAGTAAGGGTAAGATAGGAAGACTATAGAAAGGGTTCAAGGGTTAAACAAGGAAAAAGATGGTTTGTGTTTCATTTTGCACGACCGTGAAAATTGGGAAGAGAGCAGTTAAGAGCTAGGGCACGAGGAGAAGAGAAGAGAGTCAACCGTAGAGCTTGGAACAGTAATCAAAGCTAAAATCTAAGGTAAGAGGGTAATCCTTATTATTATGATTGATATGGGGTTTAGATTTATGTAGGTTGTTAGGGGTTTTTGTGATGAATTGGTAATATGAGGAATCTATGATGAAATTGATGATTTGTGATGTGTGAAATACCATGAATTGATGTCGATAATGATGTGATAATGTATTGTTATTGATTATATGATGACATGTTGATTTATGGTGAATTTGGGTTTGTTATAGTTTGAAATCGCATAGAAATTTGGATTGTACTGTGTAGAAAACACAACAGCAGAGTTGCTGCCACGCGTCTTACGTCGGGCGAGCCTTCACCTTTACCGGGAGAATCAAATTCGCATAGGTAGCGCAGGACGAGAGCAAGGCGAAAGAAAATGGTGATTATTGGTGCTCCTGGAAAAATGTATGGGAAGGTTTTCTCGCACCAGCTTTGCCGGGCGAAGGTGGTGGAGAGCGCGAGCTTCGCCAGACGAGTGTGAGGCGAAAGAATAGGATAAAATGAAAGCTCCTAGAATTTTTATGGGGAAGGTGGGTCGCCTCAACTTCGTTGGGCGAGCTGGAAGATTCGCCAGGCGAGGGGCAGCAGACAGAAACTTCAGAGTGGTATAACTTAAGTTTTCAGACTCTGTTTAACGCGTCATTTGAAACATTAGAAAGCTAACGCGATGATCTATGTATTAGTAGAATAAAATGAGTAAAAAGATATATTCCACAATACCTTTGCTATGATTAAAATATATTTTTAGTAGTGAATTATGATATTGCTATGACGAATTGATGTGAATATGAGTTGACGTAATATGATGTATGTTTGTATAATGAAATGATGTTTTTATGATGATACCATGTGTATTGTGAAGTATGTGATGATATTATGATGATTACATGGATGATGATATGTTTTTACTAGCAGTGATTAGGTGTTATTGATGTTGTTGCGCTTTATGCATTCATGGCATATATTAGAAAATTGGTCCAATGATGTTGTTAGGACATTGGTCTAGTGACTGCCTCAATCCCATGGTGTGAATTGAGTGCATTTTAGTGAATTGCTTCGGTTCCAAATGGTAATTGATCTTAAGGTGGGGATCTTTAGAGGAAAGATGACTCGGTCATCAGCGAAGTTTGGTACCACATACATGAGCCAATGATGTTGCATTGTATTTTTGTGCCATTGCACGATTGTTGATTGAGTGATGTTGATGATGTTGTGATCTAAGTCATGTTTGATGATGAATGTTAACTTAATGATATAATGGTATATTATATGTGTGTTGATAATGCGAAAGTGTGAGTATATATGTGAAGTATGATGAATATGTGAAAATTTTTATGATTGTTGTTGTAACTACTATATTTATTCTGTATATCTTTTATAATGAATCGTGATTTTTTACCCTTTCTGCTTGGAAATGTTGCCTCGATATGTGGGTAACTTGCAAGTAATCAAGCATAGTCGTAGTAGCACGAGGATAGCGTTATGGAATCATTTATTTTAGTTATGTTAAATAAAGAGGTTCTTGCTCTGATATGTAACTTCGGAGTTTGGGAGACGTTTGATTTGAACTATGTGTTCCTTTTTTGTTGACATGAGTTATAAGTTGTTATTTCGTTGAAGAAATTGTTTTAAAATCTTAACTTTTTAATGATGAGGATTAATGATGTTTTAAAGGATATTATGAATGAAGTTGTTCTGAGATTATGTTTTTCCGTTGCGTAGTATTTAAACTTACTAACGTTAATATTCCGAAAAGAAAAATGGTATGATTATGAAAATTGAGAACTCGTGTTACGGAGCAGGATGTTTTGTTCAGATGTTTTATGAAGATGTGACACCCTTATTGGTGGTTTCTGTTTAATTATTTATCAAATTCTTTATGAATTATTCATTGGATTAGAAGGGTGTTACAGCGTTAAACTTTATAACGCAAACACACGCAAAAAACATACAAAATATCTTAGTATGCATATCTCGCTTTGGTCTACTTCAACGGCGAGAAGTCCCCTCTTCAATTTAGGTTCTCAGAGATCACATGTCTTATCGATGTAAGATCAAAACTAGAGAATCTATACTCAGACAATCAAAGTGTTGTGAAGCTCTATTATCGTTCGTCCTCTATTTACAACGATGATAAGATATAATTCAACAGGTTTGAGCTGAAGACGCATGAAGATTTATCTATTATGTGAAGTGCATTTCACTGTTACGAAACAAAAGGTTCGAACGAACTGGATGCGAAGATTACAAGATCAACAGAAGATATTTTGTAGATGTTGAAACGTCCTACTTGGTTATGAAATGTATTATTTCATTGACGTTAACAATAATCTATGTAATGTTTAGTTTTTTTTATGTATGACATAACAATTATTGATGTTAATTTATCTTTGTTTCTCCATCTATTTTGTATCTACATTTGTTTTTGATTAAGAGGATTTCGAAATACACTTTTGGAAGATATACAAAGATATACTTTTGTAATATTTTTTTATCATAGAATTGGGGTTTGACTTAATAAAGAAGGGATTGTGTGTAAACGGAGTGCTTCCAAAAGTATATTTCTGAATTTCAAAGATAATTTTTATTTTTCACTAGAATGGAGGAGCAATCTCTCCCGGACGCGTATTGCCAAAAAGAAGGTTTTGCTTCAGTTGTGCTGCTCTAAATTTGCAGAAGACAGGTGCTGCATGCAAAGGCTTAGGGTAGGAAGAACAATTTCCTTTATAAACTAATTATGTAGAGTATGTCTAAATTGATTATTAAGAGAAAAAACATAGATCAACCAACATATGATCCTTGAAAAATGTTACAAAAATCTTAAATTTTAGCCAAATTAGTCCTTAGATGTCGGCAGGGCCATTAGCATGCCCATTCAAATGTTAGAACTCTCCAAATTATTCAATACATTTTGCAGAGGACACTGCAAAGAGGATCACAATGATTATGAAGTTCAAACAACCACTTACTAATTTATCAAACTGTAAAACTAACTCTTATAGGTTTGTTCATCATCATAGGCCGCATCGTCTTAGTTGAGTAGATGGATTACGATTTCAAACAAAGAAAACTAATCACTTCGATTTCAATGTTCTTGCTTTGGAATGTCGAGGTCTTTAAATGCTGGACTGTCGACTCCAACTCCCATGGCGTTCAGTCCATTATCGACGTATATAACAGCGCCAGTGATAGCCGATGCTAAGGGTGATGCCAAGAAAGCAGCAGTGTTTCCTACTTCCTCTGTTACAAAAATACTCCAAAGTGTAAGGAATAACATTACAAAAAAGGCGGCAAATATTTCATTTCAAAAAGAGAAGATCTCAAGTAATAATATTACCTGCATTAAGTTCTTTCTGAATGGGTGCATTGGTAAAAGAATAATCAATCATCGTGTCGATGAAACCAATTGCTTTCGCAGCACGGCTTCCCAGTGGACCTAAACATTTGAACCATTTAAGTCGACGTATACTTAATTCAATGACAAGCAAAAATCATACTTGAAGGAAAAAGTTACTCAACAACACTAAGTGTTTTAAACCATTAATACCTGCAGATATAGTATTGACTCTGATTCTTTTCTTTCTACCAGCTTCAAAAGCAAGCACCTGATGAATATAATTTCAAAAACCCAGAGGGGAAGAAGGTTAGGAGCATGAAAGTACCAAAATCACGCATCTTTACGTGTACGTAATATCTCTTTAAAAAGAAAAAAAATGGTAAACTCACTCTTGTATCACTTTCCAAAGCAGCTTTAGCAGAACTCATACCCCCGCCATATCCAGGAATAATCCTCTCAGAAGCAATATAGGTTAGCGATAATGAAGCTCCGCCTATAATAAAAACAGACCAGTGAGAACGAGAACGGTACATTGAAGGTTGAAGAATCAAAATGTTATCGCTCGTAGGTAACGAACGTGCCTGGATTAATGATTGGAAGGAAGTGTTTTAGTAAAGAAATATAAGAGTAACTAGACGCAGACAAGGCAGCCAGATATCCTTTCCGAGATGTCTCAGACAAGAGTTTGCTGACCTATAATAATAGAGTCGGGTTTTTTTGTTAAAGCTCAAGACAAAAGTTAGCAAGAAGTCTCGTCTCGTTATTGTAATAATAATAATACTAATAATAATAATCATACCTCTGGTCCATTAGCAAGTGAGTGCACAAGTATGTCAATGGTACCGAAATCGTTCTTAACAGATTCAACAACTTCCTGAAACGAAACACAGATGCATATATTAGACTTATGAGAACTAGCTTTATTTATATGTAAGCTGAGATGTAAATCATCGAGTAATGTAACTGCAATAGAAGCTTAGATAACATAATGATTAATCTATACCTTAACAGTCCAATTTTTGGCTCCAGCATAGCGCTTATTAGTTTTTACCTACACAATTTTCACAGAAAATAGATAGTGATATGTTTTGTGAACATTTTATATATCTTTTGATAAATTTTACGAAAGTCTCTCTTACATCTTCCGGAACATCTTCGGGAGTGTCGTAGACTGCATCCAAGGGATACACTTTGGCAATCTCGAACAATGATCCATCTTGTAACCTGCAAAATGGAGAGATACCTATTAGAAAAATACTTAAATTTGAAATTAACTGAAGGGAAAATCAATAGAGCGAAGTTTAAGTGTTCTACTTGCGTGATTCGTCAAATTTTCCACGACGTAGACTGGACTCGAATATATTTAGAGCCTACATGAAAATGTTCAGTTATTACCTGCATTCTTGTATAAATCGTTGCACTAAAAATAATTTGACTTCAGGGCAGTGTTGTCAATCATGAATTGTGGAAAAAAGCAGTTCGTTCAAATTCCGTTACACCTCTATTTGACAACATTTTGTAATGTATAGAGGAACAATAACAATTTGTTCAAATTCCGATGTGCTAGAGCGTTATAACCGTATTTACTTACAGGTACCCAAGTGCCAACAAGAATTTCAGCTCCTGCTTGAGCAAGAGATTTTGCTATTGCCCAGCCATATCCATTGTCATCAGCCACACCAGCAATAAATGCCCTTTTACCTGCACATAACGTTACTTTCAGCTTAAGACATGTTCATAAGTTGTTTTCAGCTTATTTCCATAAGCTCTTTAGGATAACTTATATCAAAATAGTTTGACTTTATTTTATTGTTTATGTTATAGAAATAGCTTACACATAAGCATTTATATGATACCAGCTTAAGATATAAACTCTTAATTAAGATATTTATCCAAACAGGGTTTGGTTTCACAAGAAAAACTTCTCATCCTTTACATCTTTACATTGACCGATAAGTCGACTTTAAGCAAATTTTGAAAGGAGTAAGACATTAAACAGGGAAAGAACAAAATGATACTCACTTCTAACATTATTTCATATGACTGTGTGATGGTCATAAAGGGAAGATATTTTTCAAATCACAAAGTAAAACACAAACGCACTCGTGACCAAGACCGTCTTTGAGGCGTGCAAGGCGCGCTACCGCGCAGGTCCCAAATTTGACACGGTTAAATTGTGACTAAATAAGGTCTCGTAAAATATTTATCACAGTTAAATCCTAGGAAGGCTTCTACCAACCTACATAGAGCCTCCGAAAAACTTAAGATGACTCTGTGCGCGACAAATATGTAAACAAAAACAAAATAATAGATACAATTATACAAAGGATTCGCGGAAAAAGAAGTGAAACCTCTCAAATCAATTGGCAATCCAGTAACTTCCTTGTTTGAGCTGGACTCAGACACTGCCTTTGTCACAATTCTATTGAATTTTAAGCTACTCGATGGCGACGCCTGCTGGAAGGGTTTCACCGATGCAACATGACAAACACTTCCTAGCTTATCAAATGAGCCAACCTTAACCCTGCCTCCAAGATTCACAGAACCTAACTTCTGTGACGAGGTAATCCTAGGTCTTGACACTCCAACCGAAATACTAGAAATTGATGTTGTTGTCGCCATTTCGAATTATCCTAATCTGAACCTAAATCTGCAGAAAACAACAATTAGATCCAAATAAATTTCCACATTCAAATTCCCAAAGACAAATCATAAAGGTGTTTAAAATTAAATCAAGATAAACGCAGAAACATCATTCATTCACACAGATTAAAGCTATGCTTCAGAACAGAACCAGCATTTACATAACAAGAGCCTATGAAGTGGAGTGTTGTGTTTTACCTTTTGGCGATAAAGCGATCAATGTGCAGAGAGAGAGAGAGAGAAATGAGAGAGTTTGAAATGTTATGTATGAGATGAGATTGAGGGTAGAAAATGGAGGAGTGGAATAAACGGAAAACCTTGGAAGTGTGTGTCGATGGAAACAATGTTGTTGTGTTTTAATGTGAAGTTCTTTTAGAGTAGTTGGAGCATTGGAAGTGTCGAATGCTTAGTAATAGAGGTTTTTCTTTGGGTTTTTGGAACTTGTTTTTCTCATCAACCATAAAAAATATAAATAAATAAAAGAATTTAAATATGTTTTTATTAGTTTATTTTTTGTATTAACAATTCTAGTTTATATCTTATATTTGATCAATTTTGGGATGTTTGTTTAAGTTTCTTAAAAATATATATTTTTTTGATATAAGTAATTTAAAATAATTGTTTTAGGTATAAAAAAATATAAAATATGATTGAAAAAATTTCTTTTTGGTTAGTGTTAGCTCCTAAATTCGACACCTACAACAAGTTGGTCTTATGGGCCAAAAATAGATTGAACAAATCTAAGTTGGAAAGGCTTCGACAAAGTAAAAATATACTTAGAGAAATTCTAAGTTAAAATGAGTCTTCGACAAGAAAGTTCTCAATCCCTTCGACTAAAAGGATTCCAAGGTCTTCGACCAGAAGGAAACTTTGTGTCTGCACCAGAAGATTTTGAATCTGAAGAAAGGAGGAAAAAGTAGTTCGCTTGGCAGTTGAGGAAAGCAACGTGGCATGAAGAGAGGGATCGAAGCGCATGCAAAAGACACTTGTCTTCATCCTAGAGCAAGGCAACTCCTCGACAGTTACCTAGTTTTAGTATAAATATAGGAAGCGTATGTAGATTTCTGTGTGTTCAACTGATCGTACAAATTATTCAATATTATTCAAGTACCCGCTGCGTGAGAAAGAATACTGAAAAATGTACGTTTGAAACATCACATTTTACAATCTAAGTCTTTTATTTCTCTCTTTACATTTCTTGCCATTTTATCTTGTTTGTACTTTATCTGCACTTTTACCCAGATTCCTGCACCTAAACTCTCCTCAACCCCTTTGTTTTATTTACTTTCTGCACTCAAACTCATCCCTTTCCCAGTCGAACGTGCGTTCTTCACCCACATTAACGTTTATGTTCAAACAACGTCAAAAAATTAGCATATGTCCTAGGATCAAACTGATTGATCCTGCGAGTAACCAAAAAGTTGAAGGGGTGAAAAACACAAGAAGGGGGGGTTGAATTGTAAAACTGGAAACTTAAAGCAAATGACAAGATATTTTTATCCTGGTTCGTTTGATCTCAAACTACTCCAGTCCACCCGTCAAGGTGATTTCGCCTCTCTCCAACGAGGTCTTAATTCACTATATTCAACTGAATACAAATCTGCTTTAACAACTGCTAAAGCCTTCTTGATTCAAACCACAATCCGGTTTGTCAAGGCAACACTTTCTTACAAAGGTATAAAATAATGTGTGTGAATGTTTTCTACAAAACTATATCACAACTGTGATGTTTACACAAATTAAGCTTAGAATACTAGGATGCTAAACACTAATGGAGTATCAGAGTTTGTTGGTTTAGCAAAAACTGGTAGATGAAGATTATTGTTCAGCTTTGTGCGTGTAGAAAGTTTGGAAGCATTAGCCGTGATAATCTTCGAAGCTTGGTTTATATAGCACTTGAGAAGATGAACGTTGAAGCAAATATTCTTGATTCAATGCTAATAACAAGCTTTCCTTTTTGAGCAGATCTTGTCTGGAATGAAGCCGTTGGAATTGATTAGCGTTCAATGCACAGTACCGTTGCTTCTTCAATGCACGTTCTGGCTTGGCTCATTCTGATTCTGCTTCGCTGCTGATGAACTATTGTTTCTGTATCAGAGTGTTTTACGCGCAGTTCTGTTCATCAAGCTTCAGCATGTGCGTGAGTTGATCATCTGATCTTCACGTTCTGATTCAGCAACTTCTGATGCTGGTGTTTCAAGTCAAGTTCTGATGCTGATGAAGTGATCTTGCATATTTTAATCAGCATATCTGCAAGTCAGAGCATAGTATTTTTAGGCAGCATATAATTCAATCATGAAACATTTAAATACTATATCTTTTCACTTTGTTATCATCAAAACTTAAATATAGGGTACTAGATTCAAACATTGTTCTAACAATCTCCCCCTTTTTGATGATGACAAAAACTAGATATTTTAAATGAAAAATAACGTGAAAAGTATCTGGGAAATGTTTCAGAGTTAAGAAGTAAAAAGAAATCAGAATTTAAGAGATACTCCCCCTGAGTTTGTTACTTCCCTTTGATATGCGTGTTCTTCAGGATCAGATCTTTTTCTATCCTTGAGCATCAGATTAAGAGTCTTTGACTTATCAGAGAGCAGAGCTTCAGAGCTTTTCCTGTCAGAGCTTTGCTTCGGATCAGAGTGTTAGGACGATCAGAGCAACATGAGCTTCTACATTTGATCAGATCTTCTAGCTTCTAGTCTTCATTGTGTTCAAGAGCTTCCTTGTGCCTGTAGACTTAAAAACAAAACAGAAAAACATTTCAAGTAATAGAGTTAGAATGTTTGAGAATTTCTGTCTAGTTGGCCGTTATTGATTTTAAATATCATTCTTGTTCTCCCCCTTTTTGTCAGCAATCAAAAAGTGCTGGTGATGTGCTAAAACGATTTAGATCAGAAAAAACAAATTATATAAAAATAGTTCATGATCAGAGCAAAATAGCGTTACAAAACATAGTCAAAACAATACATCAGAAAATGAAGAGAACATAGAGAATGTCATGCATGAAAAAAAAATTTAAGGTTGTGGGGGCATGCGTGAGAACAGGCTTTCCAGCATCGCTTGAATCTTCTCAGAAGTTTCATTCTGCTTCTGAACCATGGTGACCACTGTGTCAATCTTGCTGTCCTGTACATTCATTCTTGCTTCCATCTTCTGATCATTCTCTTCCATTCGCTGCTGGAGACGCAAGTCATTCAGCCTTAGTTCTTCCAGAGCCTGCCTGTCCAAGGCAGCTTGAGAACTTTCAGCAGGAGGAAGTTTCTCAGAACTTTCAGCTACATCTTCTGCTGGATTTTCTTCCTGAAGGGTCTTGTCTTCTTCTGATGGTTGCACCTATGCAGCTTGCTCTTTCTCAGACCAGGATTCACTGTCCAGAGGGAGCACAACTTCTTGAGGCAGCTGACTCTCAACTTCCTTCAGCAGCTTGCTAAAGTTCTGTTGAGCCTGCTCATAGTTGACGTCCTGCAGCTTGAGTGCTTCAGCACGTACCCATACTCTGAACTGTGACCAGAGCTGATCAGAGGCAGCTGGGTCGATCATCCCCGGACAGACTTGCTTCAACGAAGCAATCCATTGCAGCATACCTGTTTCAAAGTCCAAAATACCAGAGCCAACATCTAGTTGCTTTGGTTTGGGAATGGCCAATTTGTGTCTTAAATCAGCAAGACGTTCAAGACTTGTTAAGTCAATGAAAGTTTTGCTGGGGTTTTCAGAGGATTGGTTTTCAGAGGTGTGCTGAGGTGCTGTTTGTTTTGGAGGATGGTTATCAGAGTCAGAGGATATTTCTATTGGAGTGGTTGGAGTTTTTGGAGGGGTTGATTCCTCTGATGATGGCAACTGGGGCCTGACAATGGTGGTTCCACATGGCAACTGGATTGCCAGCGGTGAAGGTTGAGGTGAGTGGGGATCAGAATGATGAGGAGAAGGGGTTTCATAGCGTTGAAACTCTGGTTGTGGTGAGGGTGGATTATTTTCTGGTTGAGGAGGTGGAATCTCTGATTGCTCAGGGATCAGAGGTTCTTCTGTATGTGGTTGTTGTTCTGGTTGTTGTTGTATTTCTGGTTCAGGTTGAATTTCTGGTTCAGGTTGTGGAGGAGGAATATTTGGTGGTTCAGAGTGAGGTTGAACAGAAGCATGTTCACGCTCAATATCAGCTAGCACTCTATCAAGTGCTGGTGTTGTTGAAACAGTTGGTTGTTTGGTAATTTTAATTCTGGTTCTTCTGAGTTGTAAGGCCTCAGAAGGGTCTTCTGGTATGGTTTCATCAATAGTAGGGATTGGGATGGATATTCTGTGAGATGTTTGAGGAGGGGCAGCAGATGTTGGAATAGTAGATGAAATTGAAATAGGAGCAGCAGATGAATTACCTCGTTTCTTTGGAGTCTGATGAGATGATCCTTCTGCTTTCCTCTTCTTTGTCTTCTTCTGAGTCACTTCAGGTTGAACTTGACTCAGATCTTTGATCTTCAGCTTTGAACCTACATCTTCTTCCTTGTATGAATCTGGATACTTGAGAAACATATCAGGTTGGGATTCCATTTCAGAAAATCTTGGGAAATTACTCAGAGGCACTCTTCTTCTGGAGATGTCAGTAGTTGAAGAAGCTCTGGGTTCCTTCCTGATATTTTCTATCAGCTTCATCTTTTTCAAGTTCTTAGCATTCAGCGGTTTTCCAACAGTTGGTTCCATAGTGCCCAGCACTTTAGCTTCGCTTAGATAATCTATCAGATTATTCTCTGTCAGAATATCTGATATGAGCCTCCCAAACGGTATCCAGTCCCTTTTGGTCCTTTCTTCTTCTCTAGTCTCTTTCACACTAGTCTTCAGATGGTTGAACAGGAAGTGTGCCAGATTGATCTTCACCCTCTGATCAATAAAGTAGATCAGAAATTGCTGATCCACGTTTATATAATCAGGAGAGCTTGTTGGCTTCCTGTGATTGAAATAGCCCAGAACAATCTTGGCCCATACTC